TAAATAAATCTGTCTTTCTTTCTCTTCCATGCCCCTTACCTCATCCCAATCAAATCTTACAAGTCAAGGAGAGAATAGAAGGGAGATAAAGGAAGAAGGGATAGAAAAGAGAGAACAAAGAAAGATATAGACACAGAGAGGAAGAGAAAGGAGAAACGACAGAACAGAACAAAGCTACAGGTGAAGTTCAACTCCACAGCTCTTCACAGATTTCCGTCCCCTTTTTCTTCAATTACCCCAATGTCTATCAGTGAAAAAAAAGTTTTATCAGCTTGATTTCATGGGAGGCGGGCTTAAAAATAGCAGGGCCCACCAAAAACTCCAAACAAGACCAAGAAATATTGTTTTTAATGTTAAACCATCACATTCTCAGGGGGTTGCCAAGGAGCAGTTATTTCATTTCTCGTTACAACTTCTTCTATTTGAGACGGGGAAAACCAGAATTTTCCCTGGCTCTGTTCCACAGCAGCCCACAAAATCTTCAGTCTCTCCTTTTGCAGGTCAGAGAAACCCAGGAACTTTCTAGATCAACCCCATCTTGGAGGAACCCCTGAAATAATTTTTAGTTTTCAGGGAACCCCATGCTCAAAAATTATTATTTCTACAGCTCATGGTACATTAGCATGATCGGTAAATTGTAGATACAGTAGTCCAAGACTAATTGTCAACTCCCTTTGGAGCAGAGAATGATCTTTTTATGTGGACCTGTTTATTATGGCCTATTTTTGGGGGGGGGTTGCTTCCCGCTCCCCCACAAAGAATATCAACTCTAATCCAGGTGTTAGTAGAGGAAACTTCAATGTTTCCTTTTAAAAAAAACACACCCTACTTGATTGTTTTAACCTTACCCAAGTAGGCCTAAAAGTCTTATCACAAATTTCTACTCTACAAGAGGCTAGTGAGGAATCCTTTCCCCTTATTTCCTATTGCTGATATCCTTCCTCACTCTCAAGCCCAAACGGCTATGGAACCATTTCAAGATTTCCTTCTTGAAACATGCTTTTGCCAAACTGTTGGCTTCCTTTTCAAGCCATGACTCTCGTCACTTGAAGTCAAAGCATTTTCTGCATAGACTGGTTCCACTAGTCCGTGGGGTTAAAAAGATGTTTGCTAAGGAAGCTAGTTTCTGCAGCGGTTCTTCGTCTTCAAAGCACTCTCCAAAATCTGGCCTACGATTGTCTTGGAAGCACTCCTGTAATTCCCCTTCCAGCTCAAACAGCCTGTTGAGAACTCTCCTTCCGCTAAGCCATCGGATTTCTGTAGCTAGCAGGAGATTTGCGTTCTTTCTCCTGTGCTGGAGAAATACTCTGAGAAAACCCCCAGCCCTGTTTGCCTCCTGGGTGGCGAGGATCAGGCCCATTCCTCTACTTCAATGTTTCTCAACCTTGGCACCTTTAAGATGTGTGGACTCCAACTCCCAGGATTTCCCCCCCCCCCTAAGAGT